AGTGATAACTGAGGGGATTGTCAGGAAAGGGGTGTAGAGGAGGGAGAAGATTTTTGTGTGCTTATGTCACTTCAGGTTTGTGGACCTTGTTGGTCATACAATGGTGTAATGTTAATAATTTTAAGAGCTTATAAGTTGTGGATCCTGTGGAATATGTGCCTAATAAGTGGGTAGCAAGCCTATGTTTGTGTACTAACAAGGAACTTATAATTTCTAATCAAATATTAATTTCAACCACATATTCAAAACTACTACCCATATATTATCCATGCATTTCGTTGACCCACTACTCCTTACAAATTTCTTAATAGTTTACCCAAACATATGCTAAGTTATGGGTTATATGAAATGTGTGGATAAGAAAGTAATTTTTGTCCAGCTTAAATTATAAATAAGCTTAGTCAAACACGCTCTGAATAGGTTATCTACGTAACTATAGTGTGTGACAACCCAAATTCTTAATGATTTGAGTGTCACTAAAATTTAAATTAAAATTAAATAAAAAGGGTTGAAATGAATAAATAAGATTTTTATAAAAATGATTATGATTCAACATTATTCATAATAAGCGTATTTTTATAGAAAATAAGTTTAACATAAGGAAATCTTAAAATAACTTCAACATAAATTAAATAAAATTCGACATAAATTCATGTAAATTATTTTAAATATCCCACGACCGCATTCATCTCCACATTGACTCCCTCGAACCATCAATTTTCTGAAAAGGGAAAAATAGGATAATGTGAGATAAAATTTCAAAGTTTGCGCGAGTAATTTTTGTTCTTGTATATGCATTTCAAGGAAAATTTCATACTTGCATAAGGAGACACGAAAATTGGACTTAGATAACTCAAATTTTCATGCGTAGCGCTACTATGCTCAAGTCCGTCCTTACAAATCTTATACATAATACAAACCATTACTTAACATAGCCATAGAATAGCATATATAGGATTACTTACATAATAACCTAATAACACACTTACCTTTTATTGGGCAAATTAAAATAATAGAAGAAGTGATTGTTGGAGAGAGATCTCCACGTGTGGGATTGAGTATTCATGAGTGATTGTGTAAGTGTATAAATATATTTAATATGAAAAGTACAAGAGAGAGTGAAAGTGGAGAGACAAAGAGATAGAGGTAGAGAGGGAGAATGTGTAAATAGTTAGTGAGGGGTAGTCTGTAGTGTTGGGTTTGTCTCCTATTTATAATGTAAATTCTTAGACCATGTATAGAAAGGTAAAAGGAAATGGCTAGATGTTAGGCACAGTCAATGCATAAATGGTGTATTGTCTTGAAAGTTTTCAAATCAATACGTTTAATCATGTGGTCAAATCAATTGGCTTGGCTTGAAACTTGATGTAAGTAATGCAAGTGGTCAAATCAATTACCTTTATTTATTAGGTTAAATCAATTACATTGGCTTGAAATGTGGTATGAATAATGCACGTGGTTAAATAAATCTTTAATCGTGACTAGTTGTTATATTTACATATATTTTACGCATGATTTCATCTAACTTTCAAGATAACTCTCTACTTAGGTCCTTAAACTATTGGTCAGCAACCAATGAGGTCATTAGACTAGGTAAGGTCATTAGATTTTAATAATAGCGCACTTAAGTCCTAAATTTAAATCTAAAGACTACTAGTAAAAATTTGGGACATTACACAGTCTTAGTTTTATTGGAAATAGAGCAGAAGAAGAAGAAACGAGGGTAACCAATTACAAAGATACAACCCTTTATTTTTTCTTCTTCTTAACTCTTATATTGCGTGTATCAGTCATGTAAAAAATGCTGACCTCGTGTTCTTTACATTGAAGAATGAAAGTCTTGATTTTCTCAAGCACAGCCATATTGTGATATGAACATTCGGTAAAAGGATACATCGAGGTATCAATGTCTTTTGCCTTTGGGAAGTGAAGGGCAAGTCCTGACACGCTTTGAGGCTTAAGCAAATATCTTACTGATGTTGAAACCTTTAGGATCATAAATGCAATTCCTAAAGAGTCTCAAAATACCATAACTTCCTGAATATGTCTCAATTTGAATTCCTGTTCATGCATTTGATCACAGTGTTCTAAATGCAAAGCCTTGTAATGAGAAATTTTTCTAGAAATTTGGTGTAAGAAAAGATATTGTTTGATGTTCTGATCAATTATCCAATAATGATTATAAACAATATCAAATGAATAATTTCTTTCATATTTCTGGATATCGGGTTACATGAACATATAAGACCAAAAACCAGTGTGTGAAATGGTTTAGTATAATTTTTCCTTTCAAGGCTCAATTGCTCATACTTAGTAGAAACCCAATTGTTCTAATACGTGCTATGATGTTTGTCAAGGTAACTTGTTTTGCTATCATTGCACATCCTTGACTTCTTAGTGCCCTCCTATGATTTCAGGTAGTCAGTCCAATCAGTCTCCTGCCAGTGACAAAAATATTATTAAGGTAACCTTGTTCTTGATTTGTACTTTCCAGTTGCCTTATCATTTATGCCTGGATTCTTATTATGCAGATAAGTTTGTGTCAGAAAACATATTTTCTACTCAATACACATTCCAAGAATCTGCATCAGAAATTGAATATCTAGCATCACATATTAATCAACTTTCTATTTGTTAGTTCTATCATGAATTCGAGTTTCTGAACATTCACAAAAGAGTTTTAATTAGGTGATTTTGAAATCTAACTTCAGACCAAAGCTTTCAATGCGGTCATGGCTACTTTTGCAAGAAACTGCATGTACTGTCTTCATGTTTAGGAATAGTATGACATTTGATGGTTGGCTTCTGAAGATGAAATGAACTAACTAAATTTTAACATCATTGAGGGTAACAGGAGACTCTTCATAGGAAGCATTAAAAAAATAATAATATTATGACGAGTTCTTTCATCTAATTGTTATAGATTATGTGATAGAAAATCTATAATTGTTTCTTACTGGATGCCACTTTTATTGCACTCCATGCATGAAATGAAATTGTGAGTTATTAATCTTTTAGGCAAAGGAGACAAACACATCTAACAGTCAATATTTCCATGAAGGCCACAGGTGGTGGGGCATTTAAATTTGCAGATTTACTTAAGGAAAAGCTCGGAATTATTCTGGACAAGGAAGACGAGATGGATTGTCTTGTTACTGGAGCAAATTTTCTGCTTAAGGTGCGTGTTTTTATAGTATAAAGATATTGCTTGGTATTCTTCTAATGCTTCTTAGACGTCATGAAGACCATAAGTGTAGCAGTATTATCATTTTAAGTATGTCCCATTTCCTCCATTGTTCTATCACCAATTTTGGATAGACCTGAAAAATATTGTATTTGATGTTATGTTTCTTTTTGCTTTGTGTTGGTCATTCCTTCCAGCAATGAAGTTAAAAAAAAAAAAATTTCCATGTATTGGTGCAAAAAATATTAGACTTTTGAAGACACATTGTGTACCTTATGACAATGAAGATTTTTTGGTCCAGAGGAAAATGTCCTCATTGAATGTAGAGTTTCATGAGGTTTGTCGCTTTTGATAACGTGTAAGTATTAGGGATGACAAAAAAAATCGACAAGTCTGATATCCGCCCGCTTAATCGGGTATTCGGGTTAGGGACGGGGTGGGTACTGGTAATGGGTACTCCACTCCGCCCCGTTTAATTTTTTTTTTTTTTAGAATTCAATACTTTAAATGGAAAACTTTACGAAATTTCATTAGTATTAATAAAAAATGGCAACTAAGATTATCTAAAAAATATGACAAATAATAAAAGTCTTAGTTTACCAAATATATTTGAATAATTTAACTTTTAAAAATAAATTAAAAATTAAAAAATACATTATTATTTCACTTGAATGAATGGGGACAATGAAATGAATTATAAAAAATAATAATAATAATAAAAACTCAGGTAGTAAACGGGGCAAGGTCCACCTTAAATGGGTAATGGGGCGGGTACAGGGCGGGGAATTACCCTGTCCCGCCCGTTGCCATCCATACTAAGTATCAGTGCTACTTTCGGCAATTACTATATTTTATGGGTTATGATATGTGAAGACCTTTAGTTTTAAATGTTGTATGTGTTGTATGGTCAAAACTCATCATGAACATTTGTTGATGCATCTATCCTTTTTCCGGTAATTCTACGACCACGTAGGCTATAATATTTTATTATCTTCTCTAGTTTTAGTAAACGTCTTAAAGAAGTTCAGGATAATCCTTAAGCTAATTTATACAGAGAAAATTTTCTTTACCACTTCTTTACCCACGTGTTAATGTTGTTGGATGTGTGAAGCCTAACGTACTATACACTTTTATCCTTGGTCGTGGTTCGATCTAAGGTCGAAGGGGTTCCGGGTGCAGGATCCCGTAAGGCGAATTTTTTCTAAAATAACATAGGGTACTCTAAGAAATTCACACATGTATTGGACGTCTAATATATTCTTCTTGTATAAAGGTTATTAGGGCGAGCATCCATTCTGTTTATCATAGTAGAAAGAAAATAAAGAGAGACGTGAGTCCAAAACTCATTGTAATTCTCTTCTTATTTGTAGTGCAATTTGATAGCCACACTTGGTGCAGTAGATCACACATTGAGGGTGAAGTATGTTATATCACGTGTCACTTTTGCTTTTCTTATTTTCATAATAGTAATTGCTCTTGATAATAGAGATTATTCATTAATCCGTAACAAAGGTTTGGTTCTAGCATAACACTGCATGAAGCCTTTGTAAATACTATTGATTTCTAGATTAGGAAACTTGCGATTCTTTGTTTCCATGGTTGTTTCTTTTGTTCTTCTCCTCCTTCTCGCTCTGTCTGTATATCAACATAATGCTTATTAGGAATTTAACTGCATATTGGCTAGGCAGTACACCATGAAGCTTTTACATATATGAATGATCAGAAGGAGTATGTTCAGATTGACCAAAAAGATTTGTATCCTTATCTCCTTGTCAATATTGGATCTGGGGTCAGCATGATCAAGGTAATGTTTTCAACATATCTTTATTCTTGTAGAAATTAATTTATTGAAATTGTTGAAGATAAGATTTAAATGATATACAGGGGGTTTTATTTAACAGTTTAAGCTTTTAGATAAAATGGTTTAATATGGTATCAAAGCATGTAAAGGTCTTCGATTCAAGTTACGTCTCCACCCATTTATTAACATTGTGCACATCTAAAGCTTTGATGGGAAAAATAAATCCCGCCTACACATGAGGGGGTGTGTTGAAGATAAAATTTAAATGATATACACGTGGCCTTATTTAATTGTTTAAGATTTTAGATCAAGTTGTTTTAACAAAAATGAATGCTATTCTTGCATGAAATGGAATAAAATCATCATCTTTTCCCCTGGACTTGGTCCCACAAAGAGCTTGAATAATTTGTTATACGCTGACATAATTAAAATTTCTTTCATCTCTAAATCAGGTGGGATTCAAAACCCACTAATCTTTGGAGCATTAATGTCCATGGAACTTATTAATAGGTAATATGACTTCAATTTTGGTCTAAATACCAATTTTTAAAGAGAAATGTAGCTTCAATAATCATTTATCGTGTAACATTTTCAGGCGTTGATACCGAAGAATCCAATTGATTTGGATCTTCCACTAGATGTAGCAACAAACTAAAACATAATGAAAAATTATTCATGCAGTTGACCTAAATTTATTGGGAATAAGGCTTATAGTTTATTGTTCTTTAGTAACATTCTCAGGCAGTAATGATACTCCACTTGAGCCTGTACCTAAGTCAGAATGGCGTAGTCTATAAACGAGAGTGGAGATAGATATCTTCAATCACAGACCATACTATCCATCTGGAAGCTACAATATGACATGGGTGTATTTACAATTTTTTGATCAAAATTATGAATAATATATTATTGCAACATTTGATTCAGAAATTTTGTTGCATAAATTTTCTTTTCATTTCTATTTGTTTCATACTTGCTTAGGTAGATAGCGACAGCAAGTTTGAGCGAGTCAGTGGAACGAGTGTGGGTGGCGGTACATTTTTGGGCTTGGGAAAACTTTTGACAAAGTGTAGAAGGTTATGCTCTTACACCTTTTGTTTCAATACATTCTTCAAGGTTTCCCATATTTCTTAATATGATATTATTTTGCCTAGCAATTGCCTTAATTTACAAGAACTATAACTTTGTTTTTTGTTTTCTCTATTTTCAGTTTTGATGACTTGTTAGAGTTGAGTCACCGGGGAAACAACCGAGAGATAGACATGCTTGTGGGGGACATATATGGTGGAATGGACTATTCGAAGGTATGTGCTATTGATATGTTTTGTCCTTACCTATTTTAGTTTCAGCAGTGGCTAAAGAAGTTTTTCATCCTTAATTTTAAGGACGCAAGAATATGGGATTCAAATAATGAAGTCAATTAAGTTTTTTCATGACATCGATCGGAACTATACGAGTTCTGTAATTGGTATTTGTTTTTACCTTCAAATGGATATAGAAATTGGCTCAAGTTCTATCAGCCAACTTGTGTACGATGTCTGGTGTTTAGCTTCTGCTTAAATATGAAGAACAGAATGTTGGGGCATGTGAGTCGCACTAATACATTCACACATGCTGCATGTGATGTTTCAATAATTGCTAGCGATAATTTTTACTAAAAACAAACCTATATTACAAAGATATATTATCTACAGAAGGTATGTAAGTATTGATAATCATTATAGATGTCATGCAAGAGCATGTAATCTTTTTTTATCAAAGACGAGCTAAATCATTATGATAAGTGTCTCTGCATGTGAACTTTAGGATGATTGTCTGCATGCGAGTTTTAGGATGAACTGAACTTGCTCGTTCCTGTAATTGTTATGCTAAATGGCTAATTAATTATTAATTTTTTATCTGATAATCATATCAGATTGGCCTAGCATCGACAGCGATTGCTTCTAGTTTTGGCAAGGCAATATCCAAAGAACAAGAGCTTGAAGATTATAGACCTGAAGACATAGCGAGGTCACTGCTAAGAATGATTTCAAATAACATTGGACAGGTAAGTTATGGGAAAAATGAATCCTTTCATGCAGTAGACTGTATTCTAGGAGTAAAGCCCGTAAATTTCTTGGCAAATTGCTTTTCTTTTCCTTCCTCATTTCGTGCCTTAAGACTGTAAAAGAACTTTTCTGTTTCCTAAAATCAATTTCAAAAATACGAACAAAATATTTTTGCCCATGACTAGTTTTCTGTGAAAAGAAGAGAGTAAGGGATGAAGGAGAACATCGGAATGGTGAAGAAATTGGAGAGTTCTGTTTTTCGGTATCGTTTCACAAAAGAAACATCCTCTCTCTAATTAAATGTTAACATTTGATCATTTGGCCGGACGATCTAAAGGTTCAAAATTTTATCATTCATAACTATTACCAATGATCACAAGCTGTCAATTTAAATTTTAACTGAATTTACAGTCACTTTTAGCATTAAAATGTTTGTAATCTAATTTTATTAATATAACATGATTAATGAGATAAAGTCTAGACCATCCTATCTCAATCACGATGATTTAATAAAAATTGACAGTGATCAAAAAGCAATTACAGTGACAAGTGCTAAGGTGTTTTGAGCTATCAATCTGCTAGGAGCGCCCTACAGCATACACCGTGCACATGCATGTGGTGGCTCGAGCTCTACTGGTTGTTTACACCTTCCTAGCATGTCACCCAATTGGGCCTTTATGCTTTTTAGTTTTTACAAGGCCAATGTCCAAAAAGCATATACTTAAAAGACAGTTTTCCAACCTTCCTTTTCCAATGTGAACCAGTAAAAAGTACTGATAATATGGCATTTCATCTCATTTTTATCTCCCACCTTTATTTTCGAAATTTCCCAACAGACTGCAATTAGTTGACTTACCTTGCTACAAGCACCTGTGCTGTCATTCTTGTTTCTTACTTTGATTTAAATGTCTGGGTTTACAATATCAGTAAGCGTAATGCCACTTCAAATTTTCGTCTTTCAGATAGCTTACTTGAATGCCCTACGCTTTGGACTCAAGCGGATTTTTTTTGGAGGATTTTTCATTCGTGGCCATGCTTACACAATGGACACAATTTCTGTTGCAGTTAATTTCTGGTAATGACTCTACATAACCCCTTTTGAACAAAAGCATTGCTTTTGTCCTTGTATTCTAATCAGAGTCACTATACAGTGGCTTAAGGCATCTCAAAATGGTACTCCAGATATATCATGATATATTTGCTATGTTCTAATTTAATTTAATTTTTTCTTCTTTTTTTGGGGAGTGGGGGGGTGGGCTGGTGCCATTTTAAAGAACGACTTAGTCCTTTGAAATCAACTTGCTTCTGCACAAATTGAAAGCTAATCAATTTGCAGCTGTGATATCCCACATTATCACTTGATCGTGCACTTATGCTGTGCTTTACATGAGTTGCTCATCACTGTTTGCTTGTGGACTAAGGTGCTCTAGTCGTTTTCATTTTCTTTTTAATCTTTAAAGAGAAAAAAAAAGGCGCATTAAACTTGAGCGGGAAAATTGGGTCATTTCATTTTTGCTTTTGTTGGTGTGGTAGCTGAAGTGTGACAGAGACATTATTGATACTTTTTATGGAACTGTAAAACCAATGTCTTTTCTTAAATGTCCTGATCATTTTTGCAGCAAGAGAATGGACGGATGGACTTCATGCTAATGAATACAAAATGAGTCCTTAATCTACTATTCATCTCCTTTTGTCATTGTTCCATTTCAAGTAATCCATTGCATATTTCCAGGTCAAAAGGTGAAGCTAAAGCTATGTTTTTGCGGCATGAAGGATTTCTTGGGGCTTTGGGAGCATTTATGAGCTATGAAAAGAATGATCCTGTAGACGAAGCCTCCCATCAATTAATGAAACAATTCCCAAAAGGTCCCTACTGCATCGAAGATCGATTTCAAAGCTCAGATTCTACAAATGCAAGTGATAATGGTTGTATAGAATGTCGACTGCAAGTCACCAAATGAAAGTTTCTTATACTAAACTGTGCCCCAGGTAAGTATAGTAGACAAGGCAATTCCTGGTTTCTTCATTAAGTTAAGACGAACCCAAACATTTATGTACATAGGAAGGGTTTATTGACGATCGAAGATTAAAAGAAATAAAAGAACTAAAGTATCTTCTTTTTGTGTTTACATTAGTTGCAGTGTCTACTTCAATTTACTGTATGTTGAAAACCTTTGTCAATGCAATAATGATAATGAAAATTGCTATTTTCCTTATCTACGTCTATTACAGTGGAGATGATGCAGATGTTCAACGTTGGCAATACGAACATACCATTTTAGTTGCTCTAAATTTTTCATTAGACGTCGTAAATGACTGCAATTCAATTGGTGCAGATTCTTAAGAGTGTATTTTTGTTGTGACAAGCTTGAAACCCCTGGCTATATAATATGTGTCACACTTCCAGGATTTAGTAGAGCGAATAAATAATATGAATAATTACAGCAGCGGTACCATCCTTTCATTTAGTAGCAAACTTTGTCCAAACCTTTCATTTGTGTCCCCCACAGTTCCAAACCTTTCAAAATGTCGCAGTTGAAATCCAAATGGATGGTTTCTGTTAGTTTAACCATTAGTTGACCAAATAATTGACTTTGACAATAATTTTGACTAATTTTAAAAGGTTAAAATGGTAACTTTACATTTTTTATAATAAAATAACTAAATTAAAAACCAAAAAATCAATTTCATCTTCTTCATCCACCTCACACATACCCACCCCCATCCCAAAATCATCACCACCACTGCCATCTTCTTCACCGTAATCAATAACTACAAGTGACGACGTGCTTGAAGATCTAAGAAGAGAGGAACATGAGTTTCTTCAACTGTTGCAGCCAAAGAAAGGCAAGTTACAGCTACAAGTTGGATCATCCATGGCTTCTCTTTCTAAAAATGGATGTTGCAAAAAAACCTATCAAGATAATTTTACTGTAAGCATGGCAGTCAACACTGAAAATCCATACAAAATTTTGACTTTCAAGATCCATTCCACTGCATCTATGCGTGCCTGTAGAGAAAGAGGAGCGTGTTCCATCGACAAATGCGTCATTTTCTTTGTAGAAAAGGGAGTTAAGTTCTTCATCTTCCCAAAATAAATCTTGTTATGTTAACAGATTAGGCAAATAGGACAGATTTCAACCATTAAAGTTGATTTCTTCACTCCCTTCTTCAAATTCTCCCTACTTCAAATTCTCCCCATTTTTCTTCTTCACAGTAAAGGGAATCTAGCAAGGTGGACTGTGCATTTTCTTCTTGAGTCTTCTTCTTTATGAGTTTTGTTCATTGCTCATAATACAATAAAGAAAAGTAAAGTCAACACCAACCAAGCCCATGGTCATCATTTGTGCAGTAAACTACATTTAATTTGTAAAATTGATTTCAGAAAGTGGAATTCGTTTTGATTACGGTGGAGGAGATGGTAGTGGTGGCGATGGAGGAGATGACGGTGGTGGTAATGGTTTTGGGGTTGGGGTGGATGGAGAAGATGAAGTTGATTTTTGATTCTTAATTTTAATTATTTAATTTTAGTTATTTATTATAAAAATGTAAAGTTACAATTTTACCTTTTTAAAATTAATCAAAATTATTACCAAAGTCAATATTTGGTCAACTAATGGTCAAACTAACATAAATCATCCATTTGGATTTCAACTGCGACATTTTGAAAGGTTTGATACCGTGGGTGACACAAATAAAAGGTTTGGACAAAGTCTGCAACTAAATGAAATGTTTGGTACTACTACTACAATTATCCCTAAATAATATAGCAGAATTTCATGTCTTGTACGTGAAGTACACACCCTATATATTGTGGATTATTTTGGTTGGAGTAACTTGACATTAATGTGGTACGTAAGCTCTTAAACATTATGAGGGATGGTGTTTGCCGTAAAGCAAGTAAATAATATGGCAAAGTGTATGCTTTAGAAGTCATTTTTGTTATAGTAGTGATGTAGGGTTGCATCAACTTTGCTAAAAAATTATTGCTCGTCACTAATACAATTCACCTTATGTTACTAAGAATCAAGCTCGGAAATCCCAGTTCTTCGGGCTTGTTCCCATTTTAAGCACGCCATCGTATTATCCGCCCACTCTAGCATCTTCTTGAACACGAGTTCTTCAACTCTGATATCAACTTATGTAAAGTATGTTAAGAATTTACTTAACATGCACAACGAAATTTAAACATAGTTTTTAATTCTCACCAAGGATCTTCTTTATGTTTAGAGAGAGATTGTGATAAAGAATTATACATTTGATGAATACCTTGAAGAACAGTTCTGATCTACAATTTACAACTGTCCAATTGTCCAACCTCCAATGAAAATCCACAGAAGGAACAAGATTGAGAGAATTTGGGTTTTCTTTTCTTGTGCTATAAAGAATAACAAATTGTGTTATGAATTTTCAAATCCTAACAGCATATTAATAAAAGTCAAAGTGGTTTAGCCGTCTCTTAAACTTAACACATTCCAATAATTCATTCATTCAAGTCTATTAACAAACAAATCAATTAATTAATTCTCCAACACTGATTAATTAATTCATTGGTTAATATCAATCTTCTAGTTCACCTTCTGTGTGTGATCCATTAGGTTTCTGATCGTGATGTCTAATGGCGTGAATTATTATTTTAATCTAATCAAAATCGATAAATTAAAATACCTCTTTTTAATTTAACACCAATTCATATACATCATCCCATATTGAAGTCTAGCAATGTGTTAGGACGATACATGTGACAGAAAATGTTACGTGGTATGACAAAATCAAATTTGTTCGTTTATTATGAAAATATAATATAATATTTTCGTTAATATGATCTGATCGATTACGAAATATGGATATGTGTCAATCTCAATTTCAATCATTTCATTTATTTCGCTATTAAGTCAATGTAAATTAAAAACTTGACCAAGAATTTCGTTATCAACTTAAATAAATAAAATGCAGATCATAATCTCTTACTATCTAGGAGTGATGAATCATCTATTTCTTATTCACAACATTTATATGATTCATGATATACCCAGAACAATACCATATTAGCGACCCTTTGCAGAGCAATATCCAATATCGTAAAAGTATGACTACCCTCATATAAGGATTATGATGACCTCAAGTCGAATGACCAATTTCACTATTGAACGTTAAAGATTAGCCACTGACACTTAAATAATTAATCATGTGGAATCTATCTAGTGGGTCTCCAATGTTTTATTCTATAATAAAACATTCACGTGTTCATTTTAGTGTCACAACATTTTAGCTTGTGAGATCAGCTACTTACTTCACAAGTAAGAAATGTCATACGTGATGGTATATCCATAATAACGATATCCATATCTCATTATTACCTATGACCAATGATGATTTAAGATTAAGTCATATTGTAATTTATATATCATGATCATAACTTCTTGTCATTAAAAAATTATTAAGACTTAAATCTACAGACTCTATTATTTAATATAATTTATTAGAATAGTAATTAAAATAAATAATAGATCTTGCCAAAATAAATGCATTAAACATATTAAAAGTGTTTACAACCTAAATCGATTGGATCTAGGGCATAACACTTACAAACTTTCACTAGATCCAATCACTTATGTATCTAATACCATAAGAGTCTACATGACGATCATACTTATACTGCGACATGGGAATTCGTTCTTTATTTACGTCATTTCATTGTATTATCTTTCCAATGTGATAACACTGCCTTAACATATGTTTGGATCATTGATGAGACCTTAGTTCCTTCGCTTGCACGATGGCTCCATTGTTACCACAATACGAAAGTATGTGATTAACAATGTGAGGAACTACTCCAAATTCATTAATGAACTTCTTGATCTAGATAGCTTCTTTTGTTGTTTTAGAAGTAGCAATGTACTCGGCTTCTGTTGTTGAATTAGCAGTTGTCTTCTGTGTTGGAACTTTTCCAAATAACCGTTCTGTTGTTGAGAGTAAACACCTATTCAGATTGAGATTTGCAATCATCTTTGTCAGACTGGAAGTTAGCATCAGTATATCCATGAACTTTTAGTTTATATCCTTCATATATTAAGAACATATCTTTAACCCTTCTTAAATACTTTAAAATGTTCTTAACTACTATCCAATGTTTCTCACTAGGGTTTGCTTGAAACGTACTCGTAACACTTAGAGCATATGAAACATCAGGTCTCATACATAGCATCGCATACATGATAGATCCTATTGTTGATACATAATGAATCTTATCCATGCGATTTCTCTCATCATGTATTTTAGGACACATATCTTTTGAGGGGTAAATTCCATGTGACATGAGACACAATAAGCTCTTGGATTGTTCTATGTTAAATATTCTCAAGATTCTATCTATGTACGAAGACTGGGAAGACAAGCAATCTTTTAGATCTATCTCTATAAATCTTAATTCCTAAGATATAAGCTGATTATATCATGTATTTCATGGAAAAATTATTTGACAACCACAATTTTACCGATTGACACATTGTGATGTCGTTTCCCATTAATAATATATCATCTACATATAATATTAGGAATATGACAGAGCTCTCACTTGTCTTCTCGTAAACACACAGTTCATCTTTATTCTTTATTTTTGATAAAATCAAATCTTTTGATTGTCTCATCAAAGTGAAGATTCTAGCTTCCAGAGGCTTACTTTAATCCATAAGTGGATCGATCAAGCTTGCATAACTTTTTGGCTTCTTTGAATTCAAAACATTCGGGTTATGTCATGTAAACTTCATTTTCCAGTAATATACATCTATTATTGCAAGGAGACTCCAAATGGACTTCAGTATTGCTACATGCAAAAATGTTTCATCAAAGTCACCACATTGTCTTTGTTTATAACATTTTGCTACCAGTCTTACTTTGTATGTATGGATGTTCCCATCCATGTCGACCTTTGTTTTGTAAACCCATGTACAACCTATGT